TACTATAGCAACTAAAGCTAATATAATAGGTGTTCTGTGTGTGTAATATTAATATAATATTAATAATGTGGCCTTGAAACAGAAATAACAACTGCCTTGCGGCCTTTTATTCTAGTATACTATCCTACTACATCTTGTAAAACTAATATAATAGCTGCCCTGTAGGCCTTGAATACTAATATGACACTTATACTCTACCTTGTAAATGCCCCCTCACCCTGCTTCATTACACTTCAGCTGCTCCTGCGACAGTATCCCATCCCCAGAAGCAACATCTGCCTCAGAGAACACTGTCCCTGTCAAGGACTGAGACCCCGCCTTCCTTGTCTTAGATGTGGTAAAGGTGGAGGGGGAGCTGGGAGTGGGGTTTGGGATTGTGCCCACTTACCGGCATGTGCCCCAGAGAAGCCATCTGAAGGCTCAGAGCCTGTTTTAATACCATTAACAGGGTATGAAAATGTCCCAGGACAAGACTGGTGTGACACTCAGGTGTAGTATTCACAATGACTGTGGGAAAAGTAGCTTGATTGTTTCAGATCAAGTTCACATTCAGGCAAATCAGGATCTCTCCAACCTGGTCCAGAAGAATGCATTCCAAGAATAGAGCCGATGTGGCCAACCAGCCCTGGATGGAGGAGTGAGGCCTGCCTTCAAATGTCATCCACCCTGAAACCAGCCCCTTCTCAAGGTCAGCCAGGCTGGAGCCCAGCCCCTTCTCAAGGTCAAAATCAGGAAACCAGAACTATGTGATGAGCATTAGGGTTAGGGTGGGAATGATGGCTGGGGTTGAGCCTGAGAAAATCTGTGGTCTGGAGTGTGGTCAGTGTTGGGTACAGAATAGGTGAGGATGGTCTAGAGAGTAGATGTTCAACAGAAGCACATGATTTGTGGGCTTAGATTTAGGGATTCTGGGTGAGGTAAAAGCTAGGAGACAGGAAATAGTGTTAGTGTTTTAGAGTTATTAATGGGTAAGAGGGGTTAAAATAAGGGTCAGACCCAGACTTCATTAGAATTCAGAACCCTGAGATACTATCTTCCTTGCTGTGTTAACATTGACCCCCACCTGGATGACCTGCTCTGTGGCCCTACAGCACTTATCAATTCCTGTGAAGCCCTGTATCACACCCCACATGGCTTCTGGTGTGCCCTTCACTGTTTCCTCTTACTAATCCTGTGTAGCCCTCAACCTTCTCCTCTTATCTCCTCCTGTGTAACACCCCACCAGCACTTCATCTCCGAGTGACCCTCCATCACCTCCTCTCAGCTTTCTGTGTAGCCCTCCATCTTCTCCTCTCATCTCCCCATTTAGCCCTCCACCACCTCCTTTTATCCCCTCCTGTGGACTCTCATGTCACCTCCTCTCGAGGACTCATGTGTAGCCCTTGACCATCTCCTCTCATGGCTTCTTTGTAGCACTCCACCATTTCTTCTCATCCCATCCTCTGTAGCCCTCCACCAACACCCCTCAACTCCTGTGTTTTCCTTCACCAACTGCTCTCATCTCCTGTGTATCCCTCTGCCACCTCCTTTCTCAGCCCCCTGTGTAACCCTGGTCAATAATCTCTTGCAGGTTACTGTGTAGCCTTCACCACCTCCTCTCCTGACAAAACTGTCCTTCCCAAGGATGCTCAGCCAGCCTCAACTCAGCTGTGTTCCTGAGACTCGGACCTATTCTAGAAGTTGTTTAAGATTCTCCACGTCTTCTAATGACTTGTCCATGCAATTGGCTTTTTAGGTATTTCCTTTACATTTAATTCTTTAAATTCTAAAACTTAAGTTACCCAGATTCTTCATCAACCTTTGATTTTCTTCATTTGTGTTCTATTTCATTCAAAAAGCCAAGCTGCTTACTTCTTCAGGGTTGACTCTTAGTACTTTCCTCAGACAATGTAAAGCCTACTTTGGTAAGTCTATGCTTTTGTTCAAGTATTCAAAAATGTCACTTACTTACTATATTGTTGTCATGCTTTGCCAACTTAGTGTTCACCTAAGTGTTCTCTCTAGTCAGTCAGCCCCTCTCTCTCTCTCTCTCTCTCTCTCTCTCTCTCTCTCTCTCTCTCGGCTGTCCCCAAACTTCATTACTGTTGACGTTTACCAGGAGAACTGGGGACCACCTCTATACTCTGCCAATCAGGTGTCCAACCCCTCCTTCATCTTGGACACTGGAGTTTTTGACCTCAGCTGGTCCTCTGCAGAACTGTCATGTTGGCCATCCTATTAGGGGCTTCATCTACAAGTCAATCCGTGTTGATGCGGGCACTGGGGTCAATTGCTGGTCAAAAGTTACCTTAGTGTGGCTGCGTTACTAAAGGGATCTTCTGTAGTGGCACCCCCTCCTCCACAGAAAATCTTAACTAAGTATCTCCATAAATCTTCACCATAATTAATTTTAGGACTATCAGCAAAAGAGTCTGTATCTACAAGAGAGTTCAATGTATATCTAAAATAAATGTAATAGCTGACCTTTGGTCTCTAATACTAATATAGTATGCACACTATAGCATTTAATACTAATATAATAACTGCTTTTTGGTCTTTTACAGTAATATGATATCCATATCAAAACGTCCCAATCTAATATAGTAGCTGTCTCGTGGCCTTTCATACTAATGTAATATACATACTGTCTCATCTAATAGATCTCCTGTGTTCTTTAATATTAATGTAATATCAATATATAGCATCTTAAACTAATTCATGTACCTTTGCCTCTAATACTTAATGATGTTCATACTATAGTACCTAGTGCTAATATAATAGCTGACCTGTGCTCTTTTGTTTTTTAAAGAGAGAGACAGAGAGAGAGAGAGAAAGAGAGAGATAATTTTTAAAATATTTATTTTTTAGTTTTTGGTGGACACAATATCTTTATTTTATTTTTATGTGGTGCTGAGGATCGAACCCAGAGCTCCACGCATGCCAGGCGAGTGCATTACTGCTTGAGCCACATCCCCAGCCCTGACCTGTGCTCTTTAATTCAAATGCGGTATCTATACTATAGCCTCTAAAATTGATATGATAACTGGGACTCTAAAACTAATATAATAGCTTCCTGTGGCCTTCAATACTAACATGTTATGCTCTCTGGGACGTAAAATATTATAAAAGTTGTCCCTGTGGTATTTAATACTAATGATATCCATAGTACAGCATTTAAAACTAATAAAATAGGTAAACTGTGATCTTTAATAATAACATAATATCCATAATTTAGCATCTAAATCTAATATAATACATGCCCTGTGTCCTTTTTTAAAAAAATTCTTTTAGTTGTAGATGGACATAATACCTTTATTTTATTTATTTACATATTTATTTATTTATTTTTAGTTGGTGCTGAGGATCAAACCCAGGGCCTCACATGTGGTAAGTGAGCGCTCTACTGCTGAGCCACAACTCCAGCCCATAATTTATTAATTTTTATGTGGTGCTGAGGATCAAACACAGTGCCTCACACATGCTAGGCAAGCACTCTACCACCAAGCCACAACCCCAGCCCTACCCTGTGGCCTTTTAAAACTACTTTTTAAAGTTATAGATAAACACAATACCTTTATTTAATTAATTTATTTTAATGTGATACTGAAGATCAAACCATTGCCTTATGCATGCCAGGCAAGAGCTCTACCACTGAGTCACAACCCCAGCCCCTGCCCCATGGCCTTTAAYATTAATATGATATAAAAATTATGGTCCTGAAATTAACATAAAAGCTGTCCTGTGGCCTTCCAATGCAGATATTATATCCATCCTATGGCTTCCCTCTGCCCTTTAATATTAATATAATAACCTTGTGATAGCATGTAAAACTAATATAATAGCTTCCTTATAGACTTCACTATTAATATATCATCCATATTATGACCTCTAAATCTGATAGCTGTCCTGTGGCCTTTGTTACTAATATGATCTCCATAATATTGCATGGAAAACTGATAAAATAGCTGCTCTGTGGCATTTACTATTAATATGATTTTCATATTATTGCATCAAAAACAGATATCAGAGCCATTAGAGGTCTTCAATACTAATATGATATCCAAACTATAGTACCTAGAATGAATATTGTAGCTAGGCTTTGGCTTTTAAATCTAATGTGATATCCATACTATGGCATCTAAAACTAGAACAATAGCTCCCCTGTAGCTTTTAATACTAGTATGACATCCATATTGGGACCTCTAAAAGCCAATGTAATAGATGTCCCGTGACTTTTAATATGATTGTGACACCTTTTCTACAGCCTGTGAAACCAATATAATAACTCTCTGGTGGATTTTAATATTTCATATACATGACATAGAATCTAAAACTGATAAACAGGTGCTCTGTGGCCTTTAATATTAGCATGATATTTATATTATAGTACATTAAGCTAGTAAAATATCTATTTTTTAGCCATTAAACTAATGATATTCATGCTATACTATTGAAATTAATATGTCAGTTGCCATGTTGACTTTAATACTAACATGTTATGCATACTTGAACACCTAAAAGTGACATAATTGTTGACCTGGGCATTTAATACTAATATGATATCCATGCTACAACATGTAAAACTGATATAATGGCTTCCCCGAGATCTTTAAAACTAACAAAGTATCCATCCTAATATAAGAGCTGTCCTGTGGCCTTTAATAATATAATATAATATATAATACTAATGATATTCATATCATGTCATCTTAAACTGATAAAATAGCTGCCCTGTGACCTTTAATATTAATATAATATCATACTGTAGCATCTGAATTAATATAATGGCTGTACTGTGGTCTTAGCACTAAATAATATACATACTGCATCACCTAAAACAAATAGTTGCCCTGATGCCTTTAATACTGATATGATATCATGCTAGTAGAACATCTAAAACTGCTTAGAATAGCATCTAAAACTGATATAATAGCTGTCCTGTAGCCTTAAATACAAATAAGGTATACAGGAGGCTGGAGGTGAAGGCTCTGGAGTGGTGAGTGTGAAGGCAATAAAATGTAAAACACAGGAGCTGTCAGCAGCCACGTGTCCTACCATATGGAACCAGCTGGTCTGCAGTGAAAAAGAAGCCAACATGCAAAAAGCAGCAGAGAACCACGTGTGCTCAGTGCTGCATCTCCTTTGCTGATGTTGAAAAACCTCACATCAACATTCGAGATTACATCGATCTCACACCAGTGCTAACAAGCTCTATTTTGAATCAAGTAGCAGGACGGAGTCTTTTCTTCAAATGTGAAGCCTTCCAGAAAACTGGATCTTTTAAGATTCATGTGGCGCTTAATGCCATCAGAGGCTTAATTCCTGCCACCTTAGAAGGGAAGCCCGAAGCTGTTGTTACTCACAGCAGTGGAGATCATGGCCAGGCTCTCATTTATGCTGCTAAATTGGAAGAGGTTCCTGCTTATATTGTGGTACCCCACACAGCTCCCAACTGTAAAAAACTGGCAATACAAGCCTATGGAGCCTCTATAGTTTACAGTGAACCGAGCGATGAGTCCAGAGGAAAGGTTACAAAAAGAATTTTGGAAGAAACAGAAGCCATCGTGGTACCTCCCAACCAGGAGCCTGCAGTGACAGCTGGGCAAGGCACAATTGCCTTAGAAGTGCTGAGTCAGGTTCCCTGGTGGATGCACTGGTGGTTCCTGTAGGGGAGGAGGAAGGGTTGCTGGAATGGAAATTACTGTTAAGGCTCTGAAACCTAGCGTGATGGTACCTGCTGCCTAACTCTTGAAAGCAGTTGATTGCTACAAGTACAAACTGAAAGGGAAACTGACCCCCAATCCTTATCCTTCAGAAACTATAGCAGATGGTGTCAAATCCAGCATTGGCTTAAACACCTGGCCTCTTGTAAGGGACCTTGTGGATGATGTCTTCACTGTCACAGAGGATGAAATCAAGTGGGAAGCTAAAATCTCAGGACACAGCTGCTTTGGGAAAGGATGAAACTACTCACTGAACCTACAGCTGGTGTCGGAGTGGCTGCTGTGCTGTCTCGGAATTTTCAAGCAGTTTCTCTAGAAGTAAAGAACATCTGTATTGTTCTCAGTGGTGGAAATGTAGACTTGACCTCCTTACGTTGGGTGAAGCACGCCGAAAGGCCAGCTCCTTATCAGTCTGTTTCTGTTTAATTTATATAAAAGAAAGAGATGGGCTTCAGTGTCTCTCTAGATACATGAAATTTTTGTTTTTCATGTTCCCCTCATTTAGGGCAGCTCAGTGGCAGAGCACTTGCCTGGTATGTGCAAGGACCCTAGTTTGATCCCCAGCACCAAAACATCTTCTCCTAAAGTTTTCAAAGTCCTAATGGAGAACAGATATTTCAGTAAATTTAATAGTTTTCTTAGACTAAGTAGAAAAACTTCCGTACTTAACTGAGCCAAGATCTTTTGTAAGCAGGACAGCAGCCTGATGGACTGAAGTATTAACTACAAACTGCTCAGTCACAACCTGCAGGCCCCATCTCTACAGTGCTAATTAGTAATCCCAAATTCCACATTTTCTTACCTAAAGGCTCCCTGATGTGCCCTCTACGGCCCCACTTTGTTCTCAGTTCCACTGGTTTAAACCATAGCACATCCTCTTAGATGCAGCACACAGAAGACCAAAATGAAACATTTACTCATAATGTAAACACAACCCTCACACCATAAAAGCAATCAGATCCCATCCTCTTCCTTTGTTCCTACCTCTATTAAAAAACATAACGTTAAAATAAAAAACAAATAAGATATACATACTCTATCATCTAAATGGATATAATATCTCCCCTGTGGTCTTAATACTAATATAATAGCTCTCCTGCAGCTATTAGCACTAATGTGATTACCTGTTTTGGCATCTAAAACTGATAAGATAGCTGCCCTTTGGCCATTAATATTAATAAATTCTCCATAATGTAGCATCTAAATCTGATATAATAGCTGCCAATACTATTATGATACTCAGAATACTATCTAAAAATAATATAGTATCTAAAACTAATATAACAACTAAACTTTGGCCTTTATTAGTAATGTAGTATATTTACTGTAGCATCTTACAGTATTGTAAAAACTTCCATGTGGTATTTAGTGTTAATATATGCATACTGTGGCTGCAGAATAAGATAGTATAGCTCTCATATAGCATTTCACATTAGTATAATATCCATACTACAGCATCTACATTAATATAATAGCTGCTCTGAGACTTTAATATTGAAGTAATATCTATTCTATAGCACCTAACCCTAACTCTAACCCTAACAGTTCAACTAATATAAAATAACTGTTCTGAGGGTTTAATACTGTTACTAATATAATAACTTCCCTGTAACCTCTAATGTTAATAATGCATCCAAACAATAGCATCCGAAACTAATATAATAGCTGCCCAGTAGTCTTTTATACTAAATTAATATCCATGCTATAGCATCTCAAGCTAATATAATATCTGCCCTGTAGCCACTAATGTAGTACCCATATGATTGCATCTAAAACGGATATAATAGCTGCCCTGTATCCTTCAATACCAATATGACATCCTTATTATAGCATCTTAAATTGATATGATAGCTAATCTGTGGCCTTGAATATGATATCCATATAATATGATATCTATAATATAGCATTTAAAATGGATTTAATATCAGCCCTATGGCCTTTAGCCTTAAATTTAATAAAATCTCTATACTATGTCTTCTAAAAGTAATATAGTAGCTGCCCTCTGAACTTTGATACTATTATGATATCCATACTATATATAGCATCCAAAGCTAATATAAATTAACTAAATGCCTACTGTTCTGGCATTTGATAATAATATGATATCCAAACTATAGTATCTAAAATGAAAATAATAGCGTAATACTAATAAGTTATATATAGTATAGCATATAGAACTAATATAATAACTGAAGTTTTGGCTTTAATACTAGGAATTGAAACTAGGGGCATTTAACCCAGCCCTATCCCTATTTAATCCAGCCCTATCCCAGCCCTTTTTAGATTTTTTAAATTCATTTTGACACAGGGTCTTGATAAATTACTTGGAGGAATCACTAAGTTGCTAAGGCTGGTGTTGAACTTGTAATCCTCCTGCCTCAGCTTCCTAACTCACTGGGATTACAGGCATGGGCCACTGCCTAGCTAGGCTTTAATACTAATATGGTGTGTATACTACAGCATCTATACTAAGTACTGTAGGAGCTGCCTGTGACACTATTGTTAATATTATAACCATACTGTGGCCTCTTAAGGTAATATTCCAGCTCTCCTGTGGCCTTTCATATTAATACAAAATCCACATATAGCATCTAATGCTGATATACTAGCTGCCCTATGGCCTTTAATAATATCAACACTGTGCCCCCTAAAACTGAAATGATAGTTGCCCTGTGGCCTTTTGATACTATATAAAATCCATACTACAGCATCTAAAATGAATAMAATACCTGCTCTGTGACCTTCAATTCTTTTATGATATCCATACTACAGCATTTAAAACTAATAAATAGCAGCCCTGTGGCTGATAGTTCTGATATAGTATCCATACTTTATCATTGGAAATAATATAACAGTTGCCCTGTTGTCTTTAATACTAACATCATATCCATAGTATAAACTCTAAAACCAATACTTAGCTTCCCTGTGACCTTTAATACTAATATAATATCTATATTATAACATCTGAAAGAAATATAATACATGCCCTGTGGCTTTTAATATTGATGGAATATCCATCTTATTGCATCTTAAGCTAATATAATAACTGCCCTGTGGTTTAAATATTATTATGATATCCATAGAATAGCATGTAAAATTAATATACTAGCTTCCCTTTGGCCTTTAATGTTAATATAATATCCATGCTCTATCTTCCAAAACTATTAAAATAGCTACACTGTAGCCTTTTATAATAAAATGATATCCATTAATTAATAAATAAAATAATGGCATTTCAAGTTATTATAGTATAATACTAATGCAGTATCCATATTGTTACTTCTAAAAGTGATATAATTCCTGCCCCATGGTCTTCAATACTGATATGATATCTATACTAGAGCATCAAAAACTGATAAAGTGGCTGCCCTGTGTCCTTTAAGACTAATATAGCATTTAAAATTGATATGACAGCTGCTCTGTGGCCTCTGATATTAATACAATGTCCATAATACAGGATCTAAAACTGAACGAAGGCCAGGCGCAGTGACACATGCCTGTAATCCCAGTGGCTCAGGAGGCTGAGACAGGAGGATTGTGAATTCAAAGCCAGCCTCAGCAAAAGTAAGGTGCTAAGCAACTCAGTGAGACTCTGTCTCTAAATAAAATATAAAATAGGGCCGGGAATGTAGCTCAGTGGTCGAGTTCTCCTGAGTTCAATCTCTGATACCAAAAACATAAAAAAATAAAACTAAAACTGATATAGTATTTGCCCTGTGGCCTTCACAGCTAATATGATATCTATATTGTTGCATCTAAAAGTAACATAATAGCTGCCCTGTTGTGTTTAACACTATGATTATGTCCATCCTACAGTATCAAAAACTGATACAGCTGCTCTGTGGCCTTTTGTATCATATGTTAAACATAATATTGCATTGAAAACTGATATAATAGCTGCTCTGTGGCTTTTGGTTCTAATGTGATATCCATATATAGAAGGGGTCCCTGCAGACCTGGGGCAGGCGGCTGGCAAGCTGTGGGCACTCCCACAGAGGTGAGTGCTGGCCCAGGTGACCACTCTCCTGGCTGACCGTCTGTTCAGGCAGGCACAGAGACTGCGCAGCCAGGGTGGGCAGGACTCTTCAGTGAGGACCCGGCACCCCGCCCTCTGGCCTGGGGCAGCGCGGGCGTCCACTGTCTTACAGACGTCCTCTCCAGCGCTCTGTGTGGCATACACCAGCACCACACAGACAGTGGACACCAGTGCTTTCCAATGTAGACAAGGCAAAGCCCAGTTGCCTCCTGGACTCCCAGCCCCTGAGCAGACAGTGGTGGTCAGCAGGAGGACGCCTACCTCCTGGGCCCCTGCTTGGCCTCCCCAAGGTCCCCGCCTGGCCCCTCAGCACCCTGTATCAGGGGCTGCACCTGAGACCAGGTCTCTCCCTCTTCCCAGGCCAGCCGCCCCTCTCCAGGACTGACCACTCGGCCAGGAACAACTCCACACAGGCCTCACTCCCAGATGGAGGCTCGAGCCCCAGGACAGCCCTTCCTGGTCACAGCACTGCCCGCCCCTGCCCACAGGACAAGCTGCACTCTGCCACCATGACCACGGGACCCCAGGACAGAGACTCCCGGCAGCTGGCAAGCAGAGCCGTGTGCACCTGCAGGCCACCTGTGTGGGGACCTCCAGGAGCCCTGTGCTGAGCCCTCTGGAGTCGGGGACTCAACATTCTACATCATTCTTAGCATATGTGTTGTGGGAGGGCAGCGTGGAGCCCCTGTGGAGGGACAGTGCCCAGGGGCCTCTCGGGGTTATGCAGGGAGTTCCCACTCCACCAGCACCTCCAGCCTAGGTACGTCCCTGAAGACCCAGAAACAGACACTGGAATGAAAACTTGTGTGTGAACATTCCCAGCAGCACCATGCACAAGGGTCAGAAAGGAGAAGTGACCCAGTTGTCCACTGAGGAGGAATGGGGAACAGGACGAGTCCATCCACATGATGGAATATTACTCAGCCCTGAAAAGGACTGCAGCTCTGACACGTGCTGCAAGTGGGACAGACCTTGAGACCTGGGGCTCCGTGAGAGAAGCTGACACAGAGAGTCACATAGTGTGGACTCCATGGTCAGGACCTATCCACAGCAGGCCATCCAGACACAGACAGTGGGCAGGTGATGGGGCTGGGCAGGGGACTGGGTCACTGCTGGAGTGCAGGTGCCTTTCAGGGGTAAATGGGCTATTTGGAAGTAAAGGCGCTGGGCGCCCAGTGCCGTGAAGGAACCTGATATCTGGTTTGATCCCTAGCAGATGGACTTGTGCACGTCCAGCACAGCCACAGCCCATGCTCAGGTTCCAGCTCTCAGTGACCCAGCACCAAGTGGAGGCAGAGAGGCCAACCTCAGAGACACCAGTGTCAGCCACATGTTCTGGGGACTGCAGGTGACCTGTGGAGACCTTGTAGAACACACGGGGGCATTACAAGCTGAAGCTGGGTGACCCTGGACAGAGCGTGGGGTGGTCCCTGGGGAACCACATCCCAGGGCAGCAGCTACAGAGATGACATTGAGGTGGCCACGTTTATTATCAGCTGTGAACAGCGGTCAGGCAGGGAGCGCCCTGCCAGAGCCGAGCCTGGCCCAACCCCAGGGACGGAGGCCTGGCCTGAGCTGTGCTGGATGGTGGAGTCCCTCAGCCAGCGAAGGGGCGGGATGTGTCACTCCCAGGCCCGTTACCTGCGGGAGGAGAGGGTGGAGGTGAGTCCCTGGACGCGGCTGAGTCTCCCGGCAGTGCCAGCCACGGCAGTGCCAGCCACGCCAGCTTCCTAAACCTCCCGTAAACGTCTCTGTGCACAGCAGGGCATGTGGGGCCTCGGGAAGGCTGTTTTCCAGGTGGACAGATGTCTCCATGGATGCTGCCAAGCCGGCTCCAGTCTCCGAGGTCAAGATGCGTTATACCTGGCCAGCAGACGTGGCCGGGAGCCAAGCTGACCCTGGCAGGGAGACCCCACTGACCTTGAAGACGTGTCCTGCCTGCAGCTCCCGCAACAGCTGCTCTGGACTCAGGCTGTCCGCTGCAGAGGTCACGTACAGGTCGGAGTAGTCAGCCCCCCYGAAGCAGCAGGACGTCACCCTGGACACTGGCATCTCCAGGGTGCACAGCCGCGTCCCTGTGAGTAAAGCTCAGGTACGTCCCTAAGCCCAGCCACCCGCCTGCTGCAGGACCCCAGGTGGCCTGACTGTGCCCACTCCCCAGTGGGGCCCTGGGCCTGCTGGTTCTCCCTGGCACCTACAGCACTTGATCCCCAACTCTGCCCTGCCTCATGGACTGCAGGGGTCAGCAGGGCCACCTGGAGCCCAGGAGCTAGAGAGGCAGGAGGAGCCTCCCTGGAGCCTGTGGAGGGAGCTGGACACCATGGTAAGAGGAGGGTCCTGTCCACATTAGCACCCCAGAACCTGTAAGTGGGACCTGGTGTGGGAACAGGGTCTCTGCAGAGGTCATTAGTGAAGGGTCCTGAGATGGGCTCCTCCTGGGTCAGGTGGCCCTCATGCAATGGCCATGTCCTCCCAAGAGACAGAGGAGGGGACACAGACCCAGAAGAGGGAGTGGAGACAGAGGCAGAGACTGGAGTGAGGGGCCACCACCCCAGGGCCACCTGGAGCCCAGGAGCTGGAGAGGCAGGAGGAGCCCCCTGGAACCTGTGCAGGGTGCTCAGCCTGGGACCTTGGTCCAGCCTCTGCCCTCCAGGGTGGGAGAGGACAAGGTCCTGTGGTTTTCAACCGCTGGTTTGTGGTCATTTGCTACATCAGCCCCACTGTTCCCTGCTCTGGCCAAGTGCTGAGGGGCCACCCTGGCACTCCCACCATCTGCACAGGTCCCCCTGTAGCTGGACAAGCAAGTGGTGCTCCCCTCCCACTCCCGGACCCTGAACACCGTGGCACAGAGCACCCCATGGTCCCTCCTTGCCCAACTGCCCTCTGCACACACCTGTCTTGGGGTCCACGCGGATCACCCCGCCTCCGTCAATGCAGGCCACCCAGAGTGTCCCCGTGGTGTCCACGCACAGCCCATCTGGCATGCCTTGCTCTGGCTCCAGCTGGCACACCAGCCGTGGGTTTGCTGCGGCAGGACAGACAGAGGCGCGTGGCCCCTCACTGCCCAGACCAGTAGGTCACATAGCGTGGCCTCAACAACGGGAGGGAGTGACAGACCCGGTGGTGCTTCTGGGACCCCAGGAGGGGACTCGCGAGGGTGTCGGGGGAAGGCCACAGAGGCTCCCGCCTGTGGAGGGTGTGGGGGGCTGGCCACGAAGGCCCCTATCCTAGGAGGGTGTCGGGGGCTGGCCACTGGAGGCCCCGCCCAGAGAGGGGGTGGGGGGTGAGCCACAGAGGCCCCGCCCAGGGAGGGCTTGGGGGGGAATGGCCACAGAGGCCCCGCCCAGGGAGGGTGTGGGGGCTGGCCACGGAGGCCTTTGCCTGGGGAGGGTGTGGGGGGCTAGTAACCGCGGCCACTACCCAGGCCTCCTGTCTGCAGGTCGTAGTCATAGGCCCGCACAGAGTAGTCCAGGCTGTCCACGTGGTAGAGAGTGCGGTGGTCCAGGGACCAGTCCAGCCCGTTGGGGATGCCCAGCTGGTCCAGCTGTCTGACCACCGAGCGGTCAGCGTAGAGTGTGTACAGGGAGCCCTGTGCCGGCTCCCACACTCCTGGGGCAGACGCCTCTGGCATGGTGCCTGGAGAGAGTGGAAGGTCAGTGGGCAGCACCCTGCCCTGCCCACCCCACACAGACCTGCTGTGCAGAGAGCTGTGGTCACCCTCAGTCGGGGGACAGCAGGCAGGATGGCCCTCAGGCGGCATCTGTAAGTGAGCCTCTGTGCTGGGCGAAGGGGGCACCCCAGAGATGTTCCACTGGGAAGAGGCCTGCTCAGGCAGAGGTGCTGGGCCCTCAGCCGCACGTGAATGGCCTCTGGCCGCTGCCCCACCCTGGCGGCTTCGACCCTCCCCGGGTCCTCTCTGGGCAGGGACCCAGGAAGAATGACCTGGAAGCCATGGGATTTGGGGTGGGAGGGAACCTGTGGGCTGCCCAGCACCTGCATGGCCCCCGGGGGCCGCTTGCCAGCAGCCTGGGGAGGGCTCCTGAGGTCCCCACCCAGTCGGCACCCGCCATGACGGGAGGCTCTCCAAGTGGCCTGGGCCAGTCCTTTCAGCAGCCCACCTGCCACAAACCTCCCGGCGGGGTCCACCTTCCCGTCGTTGAACCTGTTGTGGGGCTTGTCCGGGTCCAGCCAGGCCGCCCACTCCACCTGCCCCGACGTCCAGTCCAGGAGGCCAAGGCAGGTGCCAGAGGCCACCACGTAGCTGCCCTCTCTGCGCAGAGCCACACAGCCAACAGGATCTCCTGGGAGGACAGAGGACAGCAGGGTGGCCTGGCTGCTGCKTCTCCAGGAGACGGTGCCACCCCACCCATGGGGCTCCCGCCAGGAGGCACCGTCAGGGCACAGAGCA